TAATACAAAAAGATTTTTTTTTCTTGTTTTTCTTAGATGATTCTAAAGAATCATAAAGATATAATTCCTTATTTAGGACCATAAATTGAAAAAGAAATGGTTATTCTGCGCATGTTTTCTTCTTTATTAACTAATTTCTATTATTACCTTTTATATGCTCTAAATGAAACAAATTATTAAAGTTAAATATTTAATTCTTATTATTTCAAAATTCATAAAAACTGAAAATATGGGTAAAACATGACAAGTTTATGTCTTTTCAATTAAAATTTTATAATTGTATGAAAATATCATAAATTGAAATAATAATATATCAAAGATCAAATTATTAGCAAAAAGAAATTAAAAATACTTAAATTGCAATATTTTTATTTAGTTATGATAACGTTTATTTAAATTTATAATCATTAATATACATTGTATATACTTAAATAATTACAAAATTCTAATAATGATTATAGTCGTTAAGATAAACTTTATGTATGATGTGTTTAATTTATAAAATTAACAACGACAAAGAATAAATTCTTGCAACTAATAATATCTAATTATATAAAAGAGCACGTATTAAATTTATAGTTATCAATAATATATGTCATATATAATATATTTTATTATAAAATATTTAATAATGATTAAAATAAATTTCTATAATTAACTAAAATATTTTATTTTATATAGTATTCTTATCTTATTTATTTTTATAAAAAATTTAGTCAAATTTATAATTAACGTGCATTATATATAATTTTTATATGTATTTTGTATTGTAACTAATATCATTTTAACTTATATATGATAAATAAATATAAGAATTAATAATAACAAAAGAAATATAATTCTTGCCCAACATATGTACTTCATATTTCCCCAACATAATCTTTACACTCATGCCTTCACTGTCTTTGCCCTAGTAACATTGCTGATGACCATAATTCACTGTCTTTGTGGACTCTTGGTGGTTTTGTACAGACAGCCTATTTTAATAAAAACTGTTACTACTTTCAAAAAACAAAAATAAATTTTGCTGTAATTTTTTTTTTATATATTTCAAAATTTTAAGAAAAAATAAAATAAATATATATTTAGAAAAACAGAAAAATTCATATTAGGGATAGGGTATGTCAAAAAATTAGTACATACATAATAAAATGAGAACAAATAATAAATTTAAAGTTAGGGAAGTTGTGAAGCCGAAATCTAAGTCAGCATAGTAAATAAGTTAGTTGTGAAAATACTTTAAAAGTAGAGAGCGTTTGCACATTTATTTTACAAGTAGATTTTTAAAAGAAAAGAAAATTATATTACTTTTAATGGTAGCTTGTGATTCTGACATGAAAATGGTGTTAATTATAGAAGGTTTATCCAAAACAAGAAAATTTTATGAAATTTTTTAAACAAAATAAAACTTGAAACTTTAACTTTATTCTCACGTTTCACATTGATGATGGATCCCCACAAGAATTATAGTGGGTAAGAATCTAATAATATTGATCATAAAACCCAATCTTCCTGAGCATATATGTATAATATTTTGTGGTTGGTTTTGTATTTAATTACTTGATGAGCTCCTCCAGATCTCCTCAAGCTCCCCAGCAAAGACTTTTTGTCTTCCAACAACAATGGTGATATGGTCTTTGTTTTCGACAACCTCAACTCGGGCACGAGGAATGAATTTCTTGACATTGTATGTGCATTCGAGGGGAATGACTTGATCGTCCTTGCCGTGAAAAATGGTAACTTGGCATCTCAAATTATCGCGAATGACATTGGTGTAAGCCTCTAGCTTGCCTGCTGTGCCGCAAATAATGTTGTGCAGGGTATGCCAGGCAGCGTTGTGGGTGTGGCAAAAGAAGCCTTCAAATAAGAACGTTCTAATCCTGCATTCAGTCAGACAGACAAATTGTGCTTCGGATTTTCAGTAAAACTAACATGTAAAGAGTAATTATAAAGTGAAAAATTAATCAAACTTATTTTATATCTTTGTTAAAAAATATAAAAAAAAATTAAATTTAAAGAATCATAATGTTTGAATTTTTTAATTCATCTGTGGTCATTAATCGACTTACAATTATTTCAACTTCTTTGTCAGAATCTCATGATATATAGTACAACTCAAAGGAAAATCTCTTGCATATACATATATGGCATCATAAATGATAAAACCGTGTCCTCTTAACTATCAGCAATATTATCTTTGAATCGAAAGTTTCATTACTCATCATAAATTCACCAACTTAAATTGTGTAGGTAGCCTACCACCCAAATTTATTATCTAAAACCACCACGTATATGAAGAATTTATTTATTAAAAAAAGAAAAGAAAAGAAAAGATATGAGCCAAATATTAAGATCTCCTTTGCCTCAAGTTCTTTCAGGTAGATAGGAAAAATTACCTCAAGAACTCTTGAATACGCACACATGTACATACTGTGTGTATATATATATGTATATAGATGCAGAGAGAGAGAGAGAGAGAGAGATAGAGAGAGAGAGATGATTTGAAGGGTCATGCTCGGATCAACTGCCCGTTGACCTTGACCCTTATAATTTAATGGGCGTACCCTATTCTTAAGGAACTCTAGATGAAAGTATTCAATAGAAAAAAAAAAAAACTCTAGATTAAATTATACAATTACCAAGTGTCAACTAATGCCCAACTATAATATACATACAGATACATTAAATCCCTTCTAATTTTTTTTCAATCAGTTCAAAAAATTTTGTAATTGGAAATTAGGTTTAAATTAATTAAGTCTGAGTTCGACACTAAAAGAAACTATATCCTCATTTGAAAAAAGAAATTAGGTTTAAATTTGTAATTGGAAAGTAAGGCATGACTGGAGTAAGGGTAGGTAGATGTGTAATTAAAGTAGTACCTAGATAGCATAAAGAAAATTTCAGACTTCTCATTTTGTTTTTGGAAATGTTAATATTTCAATGTAGATTACTTAAAAGTTTTATATAGAGTTTTTGTTGTTGTAGGTAAGTTAGAGATTGACGAATGAACGTATATATATATAGACATATATATATATATACATATGTATATATATAGTTACCTGTTTCTAGTAAAAAGTTTGGTGAGAAATTCCAAGAAGCGGTGGTTCTTGCAGATAAGAAGACAAAGGGTGCGGCTAATGTGCTCGTACCAGCAAGCCAACGACGTACCGAATGCCATCGGAGGCCAAACCCGCCTCGGTGCTACTTTTCTCATTACATATTGTGTAGCTTCTGCACCCTTGGGCACCTCATAGCATGGCTGCCACAACTTTTTAATTAGTGTATGTGTATATATATATATATTTATACAATTTAATTTTTAATTTTTTAGGATATATATTTCAACTCAAATAATTATATATTTTTAAATAAAAAATTCAATCTTAGTTTATGTCATGGGTTTATATTATAATATGATTTCTTTTTTTCAATTTTAATTTATTTAATTTTAAATGTGGTACATTCCTTTTTAAAATATGTAAAGTGACATATTATATAAAATAACAAAATTCGAAGTGTCCAGATTAAACTATTTGGATCTCTTATGGTTGAGACATCCACTTATTCATTTCTATAAGCACCAAAACCTTTAGATATCTAGAAGTTTTACAAAAGATAATGACAAACAATAAAAATCGAACCCTAATTAAGAAAAAAAACAACATATTTGAAGTGCACTAAAATCTATTAGTTAAGATTGGAACTCAAACTCAAATCATACAGGTTCATAACTATAAGAAGTTGAAATAGTTTGAGACACATGACCTTCATGAGTTACTACTTTTCACACACACAAAATACATCTATATTTATTATTTTTTTGCTATTTTTAGTTTATTTTAAAATACTGGTACTTCATAAGTTTTAGTCATATTTTATAATTATTTTAATTATATATTTCCTTACCATTATTTATTATTTTAATGTCTAGAGTGCAAGTTTAAAAGCCTATATAAGAAGTAATAGACAATTCAATATAAATGAACTATAAATTTTGATAATAAAATATAATCAAACAATAACTAAATATGATCAAATATGATAATGTACTAATATTTCAAAATACCCTTAGTTATAAAAATTTGCATAGATTGACTGAATGATTAATAAATTAATTATTGATGTAAAAGAGTAAAGAAAGTACTAAAGATATATGGAACTCACAGGGGCAAGTAAGGTAAGCGACTTGACGGATCCAGGGTGTTTTACAGCCAGGGCAAGGGCCAAAATGCAGCCTAAGGAGTGAGCCACAATGTGGAACGATTTAACATTATAGACCTCGAGCACTGACTTCTCGATCATGTCGAGATGTTCTCTAAGTGTGTAAAATGAATCAGTTGGTTTAGGACTCCTCCCAAATCCCAACAGATCCACAGCAAGCAATCGATAAGATGACTTAGTTTCAGTCGAGAAGTTTGGGAATAATGTTTCTGTCCAAAATGCTGACGATGAAATGAACCCATGTATAAACAACACATCTTCCTTTGCCTTATTATCTGAAGATTATCAAATATATAATAATCACAAGAAATCCAATATCAGCATTATAACTTTGTTATGAAAATTCATATATATGACTATATATGTTATGTATGTAGGGTATGTTACCTTTTGGATCTTGAGTTTTAACAAAGAGGGTGTCCTTATTAGAGGAGGCCCAGGAAGTGCAAAACCCACAATCACAATCCGACCATCTTGGGACAGGATGAGATTGCTGGCCTCCAATTTTGCACTGTAGCATCTCAATGATGGTAGAGTTAACCGTGAAGGTTGATCTCGCTGCCACTTTCTTTATCATCTTCTCGCACGGTTGCGAGAAGCTGGCATCTATACTGAGCTTCTTGAGCTCATTAATTGTGAGGGTTGAGATCTCGGATAACAGCGAACGGCGGGAGTAAAGGGTGTCTGAGATTTCCTCTAGCTGTAACTTGGTTGAAGTAAGAGAAACGATCTTGGCGGATTCACCTTGTTCGGAGACCAAGATCTTGCCACTGTTAGTAATGACTTGTTTAGATGAGGCACAATAGCAAGCCTTCCATTCTGCTTCAAGGAAGAAATCTGCCACTTTGAACACAAAACACAGAAGAAAATCAACTAGGTCGAGGAAAGAGAAGACAAGGAAACTAACAGACTCGTTTATTATTCTTCCTGCTAATGTTAATACCGATTTGGTTTTGCAAATTACACCCATTTCAAACAAGGAGTTATTATGAAGGCAATGTCAGGACAGACTCTTGCATGTGAGAAAAGAAATAGGGTACCCTCAAAATAAAATGGGATGAATCGTTATAATCAGCAGCTGCCTCTTTATATATGCTTCTCACAACAGGAAAAAGCCTATATGCGTAAGTAAATATATATATATTTATATTTTTTCATATATAAAAGAAAGAAACACGACCATAGTAAGGTACTTGAGGGTTTATGAAGATGGATATCATGGAAAAATAGGTAGCCCCACCGTGAGAGCAACCTTTGACCCCCACGCAAAAGAAGTACCTAGCTAGTGAAAGTGAAATTAATGAGCAAGAGAACTTTCTCTTAATATATTTTAATTTAATGGAGAGAGAGAGCAGATATAAAAGAATTCATTGTTTCATTTAACATCATATGTTGGGCAAAGCAAAAGGTAGGTGGTAGTTGAACACCTCCCTTCCACAAGCAGAAGAAAACAAAATATTTTAAACCAGGAAATTTTTTTTTCTCTTTTTTGTATTACATATAAAAGTTCTTTAAAGAAAATTTATGTATCATATACGTGTATATAATATATAAGCGCTCTAAAGAAAATTTATTTGGACCAGCTCACTCGTTTTTCAATTAGAAAATTTGTCTCCGCTTTTGTTTTCTGATCCACTTGCAGCTCATTCTTTTGTTACTCATAGAAGGCTAACCAGGTCATTAATTGAGAGTGTCATGTCATAGATCAAAATGAAGTCTAGGCTTGTGTATTTAATACGAGATGCTTAATTCTATATGACTAATTAATGTGCATTTTTACCTCTAATCGGGTTTTACTTGTCAAACTCAGGAGTCTAGAAAAAATTTCCGATGAATTTTATTTGATAAATATCTATGTATATATACACAGCTATTTAGTAGTTAAATTTTAGTTTTCTGCAACTTGTGCAAATTTATTCACAAGCAGTATACACAAAGATGAAGTAAGATATAAAAGTCACACATCTCATTACAAGAAACATAAAAACACCATAAAACCAAGCTTGAAAAATATGTTCTTAAGAAAATGTCACTATAGTCTATGATAAGCTTTATAAATGTCAGCTATTTCTTTGTATGCTTCCATACCAAGAAAGAGTTTAAAAACAATACAAGCATTATCAATGATCAATCTAGTAGGAGCAAAAATAGACTAAAAAGGCAATTTTTTATAAAAAAAATGTGAAAATAAAATTTTACTAAATATAGGATAACTAAAAAAAATACAAGATTTACTCGCCAAAAGTCAACAGCCAAAAACACTAAACTAAGATACGACAAGATCAACAATAAAGTGCCATCAACCTCAGGAACATTGTGGTGAGCAGTAAAAGTGTCAAACCCATAGTTGTAAACTTTAGGCATATAAGGAAAGGTTGCTTCATGCCTGGTCTAAGTAACATACATGGTACCAAGGACTTTAAACCCATATCCCTAATAAGTTGTGTCAATAAGATATTAGCCAAGGTCGTATAATGTTAAAAAATGTGATGAAAACCAATATCTCATAATCCTAGTTTACATTTATCTAGATAAGACAATTATTTAATTTTATCCTAATAGCTAGTGAAGTAGTAAAATCTTTTTGAAGAGGTGAGGGTGGTACCTTATTTAAGGCTAACTTTAATAAGGCATATGATTTAATAGACTGAGATTTCCTTGACAAATAATTGGTGAGAAATTTTGGGACTACATTGGGGCCATGTATTAATAGTGTGTACAACTTGTGTTAACTTCAATTATGGTGAATGGATCTCTCATAGGAACATTCTCCATCAAGAGAAGATTAAGACAAGGGGACCTATTATCATCATTTTTATTTAACATTCTAGAATAAGAGTTAGTCACTGTAGTGGAAAAAGTAATTGAGACTAGATTAATGTTTAGGGTAGCCATAAGAACAGGTATATAAAATGTTAATCTTTTACAATTCACGAATGGCACAATGATTTTTTATAGGTCGAATTTAGGAAATACTATAATAGCAAGAGGATTTTAAATGTTCTAAAATCATATCAGGATTAAGATTTCAATCAGAGAGGAATTTTGTGTTAGTGTGGGCTCATAAGATTAACCGTAAAGATGTGTCAATTATTATTCACATATCTAGGCTTCCTCTTAAGAACTAATCCAATCTAGTGCAAACTTGGAGTCCAATTCCAAAAAAAGTGGAGTATAAACTTCCATAGAGAAAACATATTCATCTATTAAGTGTTGTAAGGATTACCATGAATAGACTCGTTTTAACTTACTTACACATGTTTTATATGTCTTTTACGAAAATTAAGTAGCAATACTAAGTTAGGAGCCATTTTAGGAGATTCATATAGGAAGACATAGAGGAATAAAAAAAAAACACATTATATGAATTAGTCAATGGTGCGTAAGAGTAAGGAGTTTAGGTCTAGGTGCTGCAAATTTGAGAAAATCTCGGACTAACAAGCATAAAAGGTTGTTTGAAAGACCACAAAAATGTGTGTTCTTAGAAAATATAGTAGTACAAGATTCTAATACTACTGAACTGATGAAAATCAAGGAAGTGACTTTGGTAGTGGTATTAAGGCCCAATGTCAGTACGACATATCTATGATTGAAAGTAGCTCTAGAGTGGTGATCGTCGGTTATGAATAATACAATCCCTTAGAAGCTCAACATGATACACACGAATAGGGAGAGTGTTGATCTGACTTAAATTCTGATGATTTTAATCATGAGAGTATTTTGTAATTATCTTAGGGATTAATTTTATGTATATCATGGAGACGTAAAAAATCCTAATGGTCTCTCGATATATTGGCTTGTTAACCAATGAGTGATATATTCTCTCTTTTAATCATAAAATAATATTTTCTTACTGGGCTTGTCCGTAGATATAGACACACTGCCGAACCATGTAAAATCTTGTGTTGTTCTCTTTTCTGTTCTTTACTTTATTTGAAATTGTAACATCCACCTAAAAAAACAAAAGAAATGTAAATAAATAAAATTGGAATTTGGATGTAAATGAAATGAATTTTAAATTTTGTGGCTTTAATTAATTTTAGGGACCTAAATCAAAGTTGGTAAGAAAAAGAGGGGCAAAAACATAAATATGGAGAAGTTGAAGAGTGCAAAAGAAATTAGGAGAATGGACGACCCAGATCAGACCGCTTGAGGAGATTGGATGGAGGAGATTTAAAAGAAAACGGACGACCCAAATTGAACCTTGCAAGATCCAACGGCCAAGAAGGTGGGTATTTAAGGAAATAATTAGGGTTCTCTTCTTCATTTTGAAAAGAGAAGCCAAAAATGAGAGAGAGAAGAGGAGCCGATCGGGTGAGAGAGGAGGTCGAGATTTAAGAGGATTCGGGCCTAGAAGGAAAATGAGCGCTGTGTGAGGGAGAGACAAGGAAGGGAACTAGAATGAGAGAAGGAAACACGGCCAAAAAAGAGAGGGGGAGGTATCACAAAGGCGAAAGCTGAAGGGAAGGGGAAGGAAAGGAAATCACGGCCAAGGAGCACCGTTTGACACTAGAATCTGAAAAGAAATACAATAAGTTTTGTCCTTTTCATCCTTTTCGTCTCTATTTTTCAAAAATTCCTTTTCCTATTTCACACTAATCGGCATGTAGGTGGCCAAAAGGAGACCACCGGGATCTAAAGTGAGGATGAATCGCCTCACACCGGAAAGGTAAAGCTTTTTTTGTGTGCTTGATTGGCTGTTGAGCATCGGGGAATGGGGTCGGTGTCGGGCTGGCCGCACGAGCTCGACCGGGCCACCTACTTGAGCAGGGACCGAGGAGGCTTCCTTAGGAATGGGGAAAACCGACCCATTCAAGAAGCCGAAGGGTCTTCCCCGATCATGGGAACCCAATCCACCATTTTGGGGTTCGAAAAGTTGAAAAACATCCTCAGAAAATGGGAAATTGATTTGCCATCTGGGAAGCTGAAAAGTCTTTCTCGAAAAACGTAAATCCGATTCGTCGAATGGAGAGCCAAAAAATTTTCTGGGTACAGATCCCGATACTTTTGGGTATTCCGTTGGGTGGACGTTGGAACCCATAAATTGATTAAATTAATTTTTAGTATTTCGAAGTATTTTAATTAATTATGTCATGTGTACATAAAAATTTGGACATCCAGGCAGATCTGGAAAGACGTTTAGGAAAGTAAGTATTTTTAAATTTCAACTGGGTTAAATTTCAAAATGTCCATTCATTTTATGAAAATTATGAATTTTGAAATTGAATTAACATTGGCCTAATTTTGATGAAAAAATAGAACCTAAATTATGATCAGTAAACCCAAGCAATTGGAACCCTCTTAGGAGACAAAACTAGAAAACAGGCCCAATGGACTGAGAGTTAGTTGGACTGAGTTATTTAGACGGATGAAATACGAAATTAAAATAGAAAAAGAAACAAAATAAAAAATGTAAAAATAAAAAGGAAAAGAAATAATTGAAGTTAAGAAATGATCATTTAAACAAATTGAGAATTTTGGAATGAGATGGTAGGAGTGAATAGGGTAGGGACCCTAAATACCTTCTCGTTTAGTATGAATCAAGGAAGGAAGTGTGTGTGTGTGGCTGAAGTTTAGCAGGCATGGTGAACCTGCACATGGATAGAGTCTGAAACCTAATCTAAATGTGACTAGGCATTTGTGTGAGTGTAGATCATCTAGCAAACGTACCTGTTGTGGCTATTGTGTGATTTGTGTATGTGCTATCCATGCAATTGGGGGATCCATTTCGCTTTTCCTCGATGATGACATAAATAGCATCGTGTGATGAAACCATAAAAATGATGTTCAAGTGTATCTGTGATCTTTTGTGTGTATGTGATTATATTTCAAGATTATAAATGATATTCGGGTGTATCTATTATCTTTTTTTTGTGTATTTATATTTCGAAATGACGATTGATATTCGAGTGCATTTATGACTTTCAAGAGTATGAGAATATACATTTGAGGTTTATATATAAGATTCAAGAGAATTCATCAGATTGATAAGGAACATGTGAAATAATGAATATAAAAACATGAATT